ATTTGCACTTTGACTTAACAGTACCATTTTTGGAAATTTATCCTGCAAATAATCTCACATGTGCAAAATGACCTGTATACAGAGCATTTATTCCAGACTTGTTTTTAAAAGCAAAAGTTTGAAAACAAACTAAATGTCCATCAATAGAGAGATAAATTATGCTATGTCCATCCAATAGAATACAACTCTATTTTTTAAGTGAAATAACTTTATATATACTGATGTGGAAGCTTTTTCCAAGGTTTATTGTTAAGATAAACAAAAAGCAAGATGCAGAAGATTGTATATAGTATACTATTCTGGGGGTATTTGTAATTCATAGAATTTTTCGGAAAGGATATAATGCTAGTATTGATGGAAGCCTTGAAAGTGGGGAACTGGGAGTTATTGAGGAGAGAAGGTATATCCGTGTGTTTGGGCTTTCATAACAAAGTACCACAGATTGGCAGGCTTAAACAGAAATTTATTTTCTTACAGTTCTAGAAACTAGAAGTCCAAGGTAAAGGTTTAAGCAGGGTTGGTTTCTTCTGAGGCCTTTCTCCTTGACTTTGCAGATGTCCCCTCCACAATCTGTGTGTGTGTATCCTAGTTTCTTCTTGTAAGGACCCTACTCATACTGGATCACTAATCATACTGGACATCCACATAAACTCATTTTACTTTAATTACCTCTTTAAAGGTCCTTTCTCCAAATAGTCACATTCCAAGGCCCCAGAGTCAGAACTTCAACATATAAATTCTAGGGGACACAGTTTAGTCCATAACAGAGGAGAACTTCATTTTCTTATATATCCTTTTGATTCTCTTGAATTAATTACTATACGCACGTCTTACGAAATATTTTTAGAAGTCTCTCTTATTCTTACATTTCCCTCCAGCTGCTGCCACTTTTCTTTGTTCTGTTTCACAGTAAAATTTCCCTTCCCTTTATTGTCTCCTCTGGCTCCAACCTGGCATTCAATCCCACCGCTCTGCAAAGAGTTCTCTTGCAAAGACCACCACTGACCTCCCTTTTATAGACTCTAGTGGTTACTTTCTTGTTGTCATCCTACCTAACAACACAGCATTGAAAGGAGCTTCTCATGGCCTCTGTGATACCAACCTTTCTGGTCTCCCTCTTCCCTCATTGCTCTTTCTGAGTCCTTTTTTGCTGGTCTGTCCCTTCCTTGACATCTGCATCGTAGAGCATGTGTTCTCAACTGTAGCTCTTGTATTCTTCTCTATCGACACTCTTGCAGAGGCTCCCAAACTTTCTGGGTTCACAGCACCCTTAGTATCTAATTTTTCAGTATTTATAGGACAAAAGACGGGCACCTGGGTGGCTCAGTTGGTTAAGCGACTGCCTTCGCCTCCGGTCATGATCCTGGAGTCCCGGGATCGAGTCCCACGTCGGGCTCCCTGCTCAGCGGGGAGTCTGTTTCTCCCTCTGACCCTCTTCCCTCTCGTGCTTTCTATCTCTCATTCTCTCTCTCTCAAATAAATAAATAAAATCTTTAAAAAAAAAAAGAAATACCCAACAGTTCCATTTCCTAGTTAGCTCCCAAAAGTTAATAAATATGTAATCCTATTATAAATACTATGTATTGAATCTATTAATATTATAAATATATCCTTAGTAGCCATTTGAAAAAAATAATATGCACAAAATGAAGACAAAGATTGTATTTATTTCTTAAACTTATTTTATTCTTAAATAACAATTCATTTACTTCCTAAATAACAATTTCTTACTGAGATATGTGCATCTTCTGGGCATTGTACAAGTTTGCAGTCCTTGGGAACTTATTGACACCACCATCTTCATTTCCTGTTCCATAATGATTTTTACAGACTACTTTCTTTTCATCACAGCAACCACAGAAACCCCACCTTTGCAAAGATATAATGGTATCAAAAGGAATGTAGTAAATATCTAATGTTGAAATTATGAACTAACTCTAGCAAGTCATTCGCATGATGCCTGACCCATATCAAGTGTTGTTGTTTCTCTCAAAAATTTAAAATATCCCACATAGTAGATTTTATGAAATATGTAAAGAAGAAACAATACCAATCCTTCACACACTTTTTCATAAAACAGAGGAGGAAAGATTTCCTGACTCATTCTGTAAAACCAACATTACCCTAATACCAAAGCCAAAGACATCACAAAAAAACTACAGTATCCCTGTGAACAGAATATCCAGTAAAACTGGAAAAGGATTATATGCCACAGCCAAGCAGGGTTTATCCCAGGAATGCAAGGTTAGTTAACAATTAAAAATCAATTAACGTAGTACACCACACTAACAGAATAAAGGACAAAAACCACATGATCAACTCAACAGGTGCAGAAAAAACACATGACAAAATTCAACACCCACTCATGAAAAAAATACTTCCACAACCTGATAAAGGTCTATGAGAAAACTATTGGTAACATCATATTTACTGGTGAAAGACAGATTTTTTTCCATAGGACTGGGAAAAAGACAGTGGTGTCCATTTTCATTACTTCTATTTATTATTGTGCAGGACATTCTGGCCCCCTGTAAAAAGGCAAATAAAAAGGGGGGTGAGGAAGGAAGGAACGAGAAAGGAAGGAGTCCTCAGGAATATAGCAAGGTGAAGGAAACAAGTTGAAAATGTAGAAATCAGTTCTATTTCTACATACTAGTGATGAACAATCCAAAAATGAAATTAAAAAATAATGTCACTCAGGGTGCCTGGGTGGCTCAGTCAGTCAAGCATCCGACTCTTGGTTTTGGCTCAGGTCATAATCTCAGGGTCCTGAGATCCAGCACCCTCGCCTCCCTCCCCCCCCCACCACAGCGGGCTCCATGCTCAGCAGGGAGTCTGCTTCTCTCCCTCGCCCTCTGCCCCTCCCCCCTTCACGCTGGTGCCTGTGTGCCCACATGCGTGCACTTTCTCTCTCAAATAAATAAATAAATCTTTAAAAAAAATAATGTCACTCACAATAACATAAAAAAAGTAAAGAACAAAACCTGTACTCTGGAAACTACAGAACATTGCTAAGAGAAATGATAAAAGATTTAAACAGATTTTGTTGTTGTTGTTGTTTACAGATATAAGACTTAAAATTCTTCAAATGGCAATTCTCTTCAAACTGATCTATAGATTCAGTGCTAACCCTATCAAAATCCCACCAGGCTTTCTGAGAAATTAACAAGCTGGTCCTAAAATTTATATGGAAATATAGAGGACCCAGAAGAGAAAACAATTTCGGAAAACATATACTAGCTGATTTCAAATTTCAAAGTTACAGGACAGTGAGATGTTGATGCAAAGATAATCAAATAGATCGATAGAACATAATTGAAAGTCCCAAAATAAATCCTCCCCTTTCTGGTCAACTGATTTTCAATAAAAGTGCGACAGCAATTCAATAAAGAAAAGACAGTGTTTTCAACAAATGGTGCCAGAAAAATTGACTATCCATATGCAAAAAGTTAATATAGACCCTTATGTCAAACAAAATTGAGTTACAAAAATTAATTCAACCCAAAGGTAAGAACTGAAACTGCGGAGTAATTTGATGTCTGTGTGGGGCTAGCGCAAGCAAGAGATGTGGAGTGGAAACGTAGTTTGGGTGTTCTCAGCTTGCGGTTGAAGCCACGTGACGGATGGGAACTACTGAGGAAAGACCATGGAATCCAACCTCTGGCACGGGGAGTGGAGTCCAGGAGAGGGATCTGGGACTGAGGTCTCTGGAATCCTGGTCAAGGAACCAAGAGTGCTTAGAGCCATTGTCTAGAGTTCTTTCACTTAGAGTTTGAATTTGCCTGGAGTGATGGCGCCTTGAAATAGAAGACCCAAAGCTAAGTGCTAAGACCACCAATGGCTGGGACGGAATAACCAGAGAGATGACTTGGGTGAGAAGAAAGGGAAGATAGCGGCCAAGAGTTTTTCTGCACCAGAAGATCTAGAAGTGTCACTCTTCAACCATTGTAGTACACCTGACTGGGTGATATTACCCTCCTGAGAATTTTCTGATTATCGTAATTACCATCCCATCCTTTGCATCTTCTTAATTGTCCGTTTACTAACCACTTTTAGGGGTACATGATCACATAATCAAATCTAACAAATGTTGACGAATAAATGTCTCGTCTATATCTAATAATACGTGATCCTATCCTAGAAGTATAAGCCTCTTTTGAATTGACTGAATTTTAAAACCCATTAACTTTATTTCTGGATAGCAAAAAAATGAGAATTTTGAGATATTCCCTAAAAGGGCAATTCGTTTCCAGACCTTCTAAAACATATTCCACACTCCCTTTTTCCTAGAGCTCCGCCTTCCTTCAAATCACCTTTTTTTTTTTTTCCGGCTGGAAATCTCGCGAGAGATCGAGTTCTCATGAATTCTCCCAGGAGTCTCTGCTCTTCCTCTTCCCCCTAAGCGGCCTGAGGTGAGTGTTTGCCGTGTCTTCCTGGCTGCTGAATCCTTGGGTCATCGCCGCCATCCTGGCTTCGGTGGCGTTGATGTCCATGTCCCCGGGAGGAAGGCTTCTGCGGCTACTGACTCTTCGCTGAAGGGGATGTCCCTCGGTGCAGGGGAACGTGTCGGAGCAGAAGGCCGCGATGGGCGGGAATGGGGGTGGCGAGGGGTACGGGCGGCCTGTCATCAGTGCCGTTTCCTACTCCCGAGGGCCATTGTCTTTCGGTGAGTGCTGGCTGAGTACGCGGCGCGTGTGTGGCTGCAAGGAGAGAGCGTTTTGGGGGAATAAAAGTCGGGCTGAGCCTTCATCCGTTTGAAAGAGTGTTTGAAGTTCGATGGCCCTTAACGTAATAGCCCAGAAGTACTGGGGAGACGGCAGCACCTTATCCAGAGAGAAGCGTCCTGCCGCGCCGAGGCGTCGAATCCTTTTACTCCTGAGGGATCCAAACTGTTTTCCTTCAGAGGGAGAGGGCTGCTGAGGTCCGTGTCACTAGTCTGTGTCAGCACTGCCGCAGGCCCTAGTAGATGGAGGGGGAGAAAGCACTGGAGAAAAGGATGGCCGCGATGATGGCACTTCTTAGGACACCTTTGGATTAACCATGAAAACAAGTACATTCTGAGCGGCTGTTGGTAGTAGTTCATACGTACTTAAACTGCGTCGGTGACCGTAAATTCCTGTTGACAGAATTCCTTCCCGCTCCCTTCCAGGTGACCTCTGAAAATGGTTCGCTATTCGCTTGACCCAGAAAACCCTACGAAATGTAAGTGAACAATATATTCCTTATTTTGGGGGGTAAAAGGAACAATGAGATACCCAAAATTAACCAAAACTTCTTGTTTCTTAGCATGTAAATCAAGAGGTTCAAATCTTCGTGTTCACTTTAAGGTATGGGAACCAACTTTTACGTTCTAAGAGTTGTGTCACGTGTTCCAGTGAATTCCCCCCCCCCTTCTGAAGAGATGACTGCAGTGATGCATTTCTTAGAACACCTTTGGATTTACCATGAAAATTAATCAGTTCTGAGCGGTCACCTTCAAGATACTGATTCTGTAATCATCAGTCATATAATGAGCACTTGAAGATTCAAGGGATTGGGTAAAACTAAGAACTACTTAAACCAGTGTAGAGAAGAGAATGGGACATAATACAGTTACAGGGTGATGGGATTAAAACGTACTACAGTTAATAGGGGTTTGGGATTTGTTTTCCCTAACTTTAAGCCAATTCTCCCTGGCTTTAAAGCACAGATTTTTTTTTCTCTCCACATTACCTCACCTCAAGAATGGGAAGTCTTTAATTCAGTGTTGACATTTTGAAAAAAAAAGTTTACTTGAAGAATTATTATCCTTTAACAAGGTTAACTCAGTTTTTACTGTCTATACTTAGAACACACGTGAAACTGCCCAGGCCATCAAGGGTATGCATATCCGAAAAGCCACCAAGTATCTGAAGGACGTCACTTTACAGAAGCAGTGTGTGCCATTCCGTCGCTACAATGGTGGCGTTGGTAGGTGTGCCCAGGTGAGAGCTCTTAGTTGCTATCTGAAATGACATTGTAACAGAAAGTGGTAGGGTGGGGTAAGAATGGTTAGGATCTGCCTTCAATCGGGTTCTTTCTGGTTGCTGTGATGACCAACTTAGGACACCTTTGGATTAACCGTGAAAAAAAACTGTGTTCTGAGCAACCTTAATGAAATAAATTCATCTTGATTGTAACACTGATTTAAATCACGGGAAATGACTAATCACCTCTCTTGGATTTCTTTCAGGCCAAACAGTGGGGCTGGACACAGGGTCGGTGGCCCAAGAAGAGTGCTGAATTTTTACTGCACATGCTTAAAAATGCAGAGAGTAATGCTGAACTTAAGGTACCCAAACCATTAACATCTTTATATGTATACGACTTGGATGGTTGTTCAATTACTGTTGCTGTTGTCCAGATTTGTTTCTTTGTCTTGGCTTCTCAGTAACTAAATTTCCCTTTTTTTAATCTCCACCTCCAATTTCAAGAAGACCAAAATTTTGTCTGTGAAGATCTTCAAAAGCATGGTCTTAAGTCTGTTTTCCCCTAGTGCAAGCAAAAAAACACCATTTTCTCTCATGTATTTTACTCAAGGGTTTATAACCTTTCTGGTATCATAGACGTTTTTGGTAGTATGACTTGTGAACCTCAAAAAAAAACTTGTAAATGCAAGCAGTAGAAATCTTGGTATTAACAAAGGAACAAAAAGAGGTTCCCAAAATGATTGCCTTAGTAATGGTTAATGTGGTTTGTTGCCTATGTTATAATGGAGAGCAGGTTAAATGTGAGATTTTAAAACAATGAATATAGTCAACAAAGCAGGGTCTGTTTTGCTCATTATCCATTACCCTTTGTATTTGGAAATCTAGGCCAGAACTGGAGCTAATGTAGGTCTGGCTGTAACCCTTCTAGCTGCCAAACTGCACTGCTAAAATCTTGTTTTTCATCAATGCTTAGAAATTGACACTACCAGATCCACTCTCCGCAATGACTTGTAGGGAGGCCACTTAACAAACTGCATATAGCATTGAGTTTTCATAGTTATTTAGATTTAAGGAAAGATGCTTAGAATAAAGGTAAAAGCAAACAACTGTTTGAACAGATATGCTGTGTAGAGTCAGAATTGCCTTGTAAAGGTGGGGACTTGATACAATGATGGGGTTTGGGGTGTTGAGATAAAGATGTTGATTTGATTTTGTTCTCCCTCTTGCCAGGGTTTAGATGTTGATTCTCTGGTCATTGAGCACATCCAGGTGAACAAAGCCCCCAAGATGCGGCGTAGAACGTACAGGGCTCATGGTCGGATTAACCCATACATGAGCTCTCCCTGCCACATTGAGATGATCCTTACTGAAAAAGAGCAGATTGTTCCTAAACCAGAAGAGGAGGTTGCACAGAAGAAAAAGGTAAACTACTTTCATTGATCAGTTCTATTTGTATTTTTTTTATATATTTTGTTATATCAGAACTATAATTATCTGGCTTTTCTATATTTCATTATATGAGAACTATAATTATATGCTGATGGCCCCACCTATATGTCTATAGCCACTTTAAATGCAACATGTGCAAAAAAAATGGGCCCTTCCCCTCTCCCCACCTCTCCAAATAAGCTTGTTTTCAGTAACTCTGATCCCATTCAGTTCTTTAAGCTGGGAACCTGGGAGTGATTCTGGACTCCTTCCCTTTGTGCCTGATGAATTTATCTATTGATTTTTGTTGCTTAAATGCATTGTCTTCCTTTTTTTTTTAAAGATTTTATTTTAGAAAGAGAGCGAGCTGGGCGGGAGGGGGGCAGAAGGAGAGAATCTCAAGCACAGAGCCCCACTCCAGGCTCGATCTCATGATCCTGAGATCATGAGCCAAAACTAAGAGTGGGACGCTTCAACACTTAACCAACATAGCCACCCAGATGCCCCTATTGTCTTCTTGTTGCCACTTACACATGGTCTCCCTGCCCTCAGTCTTCACAAACTCCCTGCTTACTCTATAATTTCCTTACATCTGTTCCTCCCTCTATGCCAAAGGACTCCCTTTTACATTGATGTTTCCTATTTTTCCTGAGCTACAACCTATTCAAGATGTAGTGCGAGTTTCTCCAGGAAACTTGTAACAGACCTTTTATTTTTGTTTCTTTCCCAGATATCCCAGAAGAAACTGAAGAAACAAAAACTTATGGCCCGGGAGTAAATTCTGCAGGAAAAATGCAAATAAAAATAAAAAGAGAATGTTGATGGCCTTTTATTATCAAACATATTTCAAGTACCTTCGCAAAATGGATCAAATGAGTTTTCTGATTAGAACTAGAAAGATTATTGTTTGTCCTGTGCCATTAATTTTGGTTCATTAAATATGCTGTTTTGAATTTCTTGGTGCTTTGCATTATGGAATTTGAGCATGGGCATATTTCTGAATTTTTTTCCAACCACTTTGAGATTGAGCACTGAGCACATTGTACAATTAACCCAATTACAGTTCAATAGGTTTTATTATATTCAATTATGCATCCATCACCAGGCAAATTTTTGGACATTTTCATTATCCTAAAGAGGAACCTTGGCAGTAGTTTGCGGTCACTCCTTTAACAGACCCTATCGTTCTGAGCAACCATTATGTAGATGTCTATGTAGATTGGCCTTTTCTGGACATTTCATGCAAATGGCCCTTTGTCCCTGGCTTTAACTTTGCATAACATTTTCATTTCTCTTGGGTCTAACCAAGAGGCAAAGCTGTCATACCAACTGTGAGGGTTCCAATTTCTCCAGTTGGCTTACCGCTGTCCTAGTTGGTGTAAAGGGGTATAGCCATTTATTTAAAACGCTTAAAACAACTGAATTTCCGGCCCTTTTCGACAGGCAGAGTGAGGGGTCGAGCCACAGCTGTGCTGGCTAACAGCCTCGCCTTCACATGTAAGTGGAGTAACTTTCCCAAAGGTGGTAAACCACTGGCACTGGCGTTAACGTAACCTTTCCTCAATGCCTTGGATCTTGCAGCAGCGTCCGGGACAGGAAAGCCCTGCCCTTCCCCGCCATCTGCCGGGTTTTGAGCTCTTGGTGGCTGCGCCGGAAGCCGGGCCGCGCCTCCGCTTGGGCATCACCGTTACGTCCTGTGCGTCCCTCGGCTGACGCAGGCACGCCTTTGTCGGCCCCTTTTGCGGTGCCCATTGGCTCTGCGGCAGCACGTCCCTCCCTCTGGAAGTGCGGACATTTACGTTCGGACCCGTTGTCGCGGGTGAGTGAGGCCGGGTGGGCTCGGACTGGTGGATGGGGGGTCTGGCGGAGGTGGGCGGTGGCCCTGGGGCTGTGGAGCCGCTTTGCAGGCTCCAGCCCGGGCGGCGCTGAAGGAGCCGCACCCGCTCTGGTTCCCCCACGGCCCGCCGGCGCTCTCCCGGTGCATCCTGCTTCGCCCTCCAGACTCGCGCCCCTGCCTCGGTCTACGGCCACCCACCTGCTGCCCTGCGTCCCACGTCTCCCTGTCTTCTGTGCGTTTATTCTCTTCCTTGGCCTGTATTGTCGGCCTCATTTCGCTCTCCTATCATCTTCACCACCGTTCGCTCTTACTCTCCTGTCTTTTCAGTCGTCTTGGACTCAACCTGCCCCGTAAAATGATGTGCTAAACTGGGTTACTTGAAGGGAGGTGGCGTTCCCCCACGGTACCTGCCCGATTTCAAATAGAGCCTCAGCCATTTCCTCTGTATTCCATTGTTACCTTGTGCGAACCCGAATGAAAGAAAATCCCTCTCCTCCGACAGTTTAAGTCCATTTTGCTCGCTATGTTGTACTATCTGAGAATTGGTTTGATGAGAACAAATAAAATATTTTATCAGTTTATCATAGCACCTTCTAGACCCTTATAAGCCATATTTTCCACATGTCTGAAGTAAAATCTTACCCCAAAGAGTCATGTAAGGATTAAGAAAGAGATAAAGTACAGTTAGTTTCATTATGAAGAGAGCTAACAATTTTTATACAGGCCATGATTATGACATAAGTGATTGGTAGCCCTTGTTCTTGAGAAATTATTTAAAACACAGTAATTAGAAGTAGGTGAAAATGAATCTGTGATGGACTACCGGTCATTAACTTAACCTAGTCCTGGGAAC